TTAGAACCGCAATTTGTAACAATAATTTTTTTCAGTATGCCCAACTGGACGGACCCCGTATCTTCTCAATGGGCTCCCACAACAATGCACGTCACAACGTTGCCCAAAAGGATACGATTGTACCTATAGGGACCAAGACTACATATGTTGCTCTTCAACGAGTAAAGCCGTTAAACGAGTGACAGCACCAGCCCCTGGTATGTTTATAGAAAAGCAAAAATTGAAGAGTGAAATTGTCCTCAAATAGGTAATCGAAATTGTGCAATGGAATTTGATTGCTTACAGTTAACGACCAATGTCCCCGAGGAGGTGCTCTGATTTATCCGTCTACGCGTATGCCTGTAATATGCATACCAGGAAAGAAGGGATGTCCTCCAGGGTAAGTAATGTGCTGTAACTAAATTGGACATTCGCTAATCTTCTGCTGATGACAAAAGTTCGAACATGTATCCTTGAAAGAAAAGATTGGAAAAACGTTTCATTGCTTACATTTCAATGTATTGTATCTCTTTTGCAGATATGCTTGTAAGAAAAGCATCACGTCCGACCAATTTGTGTGTTGTTCGTCAAGATTTCGATTAAGTGCTTTTCCAGGTGTGTTATCATAAAAATAAAAGAAGTTCTAGCCATTGGATTGAAAAGATCCTGTCATTCAGTTTGAACTGGTAATTTCCGTCGTTGCAATTGCTGTGATTTGGAAACTGTAAAAATTTGATTTCGTTTGAATTGGAGTGGTCTATATATTTATATAAATTTCCAAAATTCAGCTTTTATACCTGTCGATTCGGAATGTTTTGAAGCGAAAGCACCTTGGCTGTATTACTGTATCACAATCTTTAGAATATTCTGGCTCTTGATTGTATGAGCCTATTCTATAATAATTCTGAGTACCTGGTTTCACGATAAAGTAAACAAAGACTTGTGAATTTTTGCATAGCAGAATTATTCAGGAGGAGATGACTTGTTTTTGCCAGTATGTTTATATTATAGAGGGGCTCAAACTGGAAGACTTACTTTTGAGATAAAATATAATATGAGGAAACCTTTAGGGCGTGGAATTTC